ACAGACTCTAACATGAGGGCTTCTGATCATCAAGGGTGCAAACATTAGAAGGCTCACAGATAGAGTATCTGAGGCTGCAATCCTATACATACTCCAGTGCAGACAATTAGCTTTACTTCTACACGCACAAGATTGTACTATGAAGGATTGTCTTTATCCATGTGACCACTTTTGTTTATTTCAGATCTCTCTAGGCCATCTTTCAGGACAGAAATGCAGCAGCTTTTAACAATAAAAATCCTACATAGGAAAAAACCAAGCAGCAGCAATTTTTAAAATAATGAACATCAGGGGTAAAACATGTGGCCTATACAGTGCTAAAATCTACAAGACAGTCACAAACCAGAAAAGTGCAATCAAACATAAACAATAAAGGTCAGAGAAAGCAAGTGAGTCTCCATCATTTTCCTAAACACTTTCCAAAATGGGGCCTCACAAGCCCCTGATAGGAATCCATTCCAGAGCTCTGAGCTTACCACACTCTCTTGTACTTGCTTACTTAAATACCCTCAAAGTTAGGCCAGTGAAAACGGCCTCTACTGCTACTTTTAAGTGTAGACAGACTGATATGGGTGAAGGTGATCCTTCAGGTAATTTGGTTTCAATGCATTTAAGTTTGCAGGCAAACTGGAAAGGGTTCGGAGGAGGGCAACAAGGATGATCCAGGGACTGGAACCAAAGCCGTATGAGGAGAGATTGAAAGAACATGTTTAGCCTTCAGAAGACTGAGGTCAGATATGATAGCACTCTTCGTGTACTTGAAAAAATGAAACATTGAGGAAAGCCAGGACCCTAAAGTGCTGGAAGTGGAATAATGGTGTCAAGTTAGAAGAAGCCAAATTCTGCCTGAATATCAGGAAGAATTTACTGACTGTTAAAGCAATAGGACAAAGGAACCAATTACCTAAGGAGGTTGTGGGCTCTCCCACATTAGAGGCATTCAAGATGCAACTGGACAGGCATTTAAGAGGGATGGTTTAGCTTGAAGTTGGACCTGATGGCTTTCTCTGCCCCCTCCAACTCTACTACTCTTGAAAATGCTGACACAGTAGCTATATGATTTGATCTCACCTCCTTCAACACTTGGCGGCTGCATTTTACACCAACTGAAGTTTCTGGACTGTCTTCAAAGACAGCCCCACATAAAGTGCATAACAAAAGCCCAGGATGGACATCACTATTGCATGAATAAGTGAGGCAAGAGCACAGCTAGGGCCACAGTTGGCAAACTGCCTAATCTAGTAAAATATATAAAAAAACTACTTGAGCTCTCCCAATTAGTGCAGAATCCAGGAAGAACTTTTAGGAGTTCAACACCGTCTAAGAACAGTTGTAAACCTTCATCCGGCACAGTTGAATAGAAGTGGAGATGTACACACTTGGGTATTTAACTGAGCCCTTTCCCTGAGGCCTCTGTAAGGTTGTCAGGTGAAAAGTAAAAGGTACATCTGCTGAAATTCCCTCTTTCACTGAACTATCCATGGTGCAGAATCCCTGCTCTCTTTTTAATCTAGCCACCCTATCCCTGCCTTTGGAAGTCAGACATGAAGCTGCCATGGACATGGTCTTGCTGCAGTACATCAACTATAGAAAACCTCTCAAACAATCATTCTTAGTATCTTTCTGGTTGCCAGCTGAAAGCTATTTGAGATGTTGCTGGCGTTTCACTGGATATATATAGCAATACTCATTTCTGCTGATTTCTTAGTTAGATTTAAGGTCAAACTTGACTGGTTGCAGGAGATCCATGAACAGAATCTCCCACTTTAAAAAAAGCTGGGAGGGGAGGTTTGGTATGGTGGTATAGGCTGAAATCGAACCTTTCCCCCAGCCCTTAACCTTTCCTGGTTGAAATAATCTCCCTGTAGTTCTATTTGCTGCACAGAACAAGGCATACCGGCACCTTCCAGGGGTAATTTCAGCTGGAAGATGGTGCAGCAGGTCCCCCACTGCAGTGTGGTCATGGCTGAACCACCATCTGACTTAAGCCTGTTTGATCTTCAAACACATAACTCACAAGAGATGCTGTTCATGGATTTCTTGCATTACATGCAGTTTTGCCTTTCATTATTTATCTATTTTTGTATTTCCTTTTTAAAAATCTTTAGGGCAAACCACCTTCAATATCATTCAATGAAAGGGAAAAATATAAATATCTTAAACAAATAAAATGTAATATTTATGCATAGAATATTCTGCATTCTCTAAACAGACTTGGATCATGATTATTCAAGGATTGAGGTTGGTAAAAACTCACTCGTGTGTATGTGGGTGACATATTTGGAAGAAAAGTATTGCAACATGGTTACAGTTTCAAACACAGTGTAAACCTACACACCTCTATGCAGAGTTTGCTGAGTTCTGTGGGACTCCGGTCAGGTCAATGTGCATCGGATTGCAGCCTTAAAGAGCGAGGTCTACTGAACTTAGAAGGAGCAGTCTCAGTAAATATGATTGGATCAGAATGGATTAATTTAAGTGATTAAACTAAGTGATTTAAAGTAATTTAAATCATGATTTAATCAAGAAAAAGTGGCTGATATAAAATATTGTTTTAAATCACCTTTTCTATTGGAACTTCTTCATTTATTTCCTAAACAGTGCAAATCTGACCACTAAACCGTATTAGTTTACAACTAATAGAGTATTAGTTACACACTGTGGTTTCATTCATGCAATGAGACATTGTATCTGTCTCCCTGTACATATTTTGCATGCTTTTCTCTTTTTTTTACCTATTGAAGGAGTATCTCTAAGATATTCCCATATAGGGTTTTTTTCAGGACCAGCAGCAACGACAGCTTGTGAGGGTAACAAAGCCATCCTACAGTTTGGATCAGGGGAAGTGGAAGCCGTAGCAGATGAACCTCCAGACCTCAAACTCTGCTGGGCTGATGTTGGAAGGGCAGGAAGGGTGTGTGGACACCATGTAGGCATTCTTCCTTTTTGGCTGCTTTCTGATAATACTTTCATTGAACATGGGGAAAAAATGCTGCAGACCTGGTGTACTTTCTTCTCTGTTCTTGGGCATGTCAGGGGAATGGGAGGACGTGGATCTGGCAGATTCAAAGCCTTGCTTGATATACCCTGGGAAAACCTCCTTTTTGCTCCCTCTGGTATAAGAGCACAGATGGCATTGGAGGAATAGAATTTTGCCATGGTAATGGGGAAGCGCCCATAGCGGTCCTCCCTCTACAAGGATGGGCTCTGGCTTCATGAAATCCTGTGGCCACTGGAATGTGCTACCAGGGATCATAGGACTGCTCTCTAAGGATGACAATATAGGGACACACATATTTGTATTCTCTTCTTTTTCTTACTGTTTCATCTTTCTGCTTGCTTTGTCTCAGTTACACCCTCATAAAAATTAAGTAGAAAACAAAAATGAAATGCCCATGATTGATAAGACAAAGCAAGGCCTGATAGTTATTAAACAGACAGTTCATTTTCATGAGGTGACAATGTTTTGTAGGTAGAGTGTAATTTTCCTGTTTGCAAAATGATTCAATTGGTTCCTCATTTACATGGAAAAGCCTCCTTTAACTCTATGTATTTGGTAGAATGCATTGATAAGCACTGTAGAGTTAGCATGCCTCTATTCAGACCTAATATTAACCAAGTTGTTATTTAAGAGAACTTTGCAATTTACAAAAAACCCTCTAATTTAAAATGGTAAAATTGTGATAGATATTCTAAAAATCTAATTATATATAACTACAATATAATCATTGATTTTTAACCACTCTGCTTAGATTTGTGTTGCATATCAATAATAATAGGCCTGAATGAATTCTGTAGCTCTTCCACAAGCCAGTCATAAGCATATTTACTTGAAAGTTGAAATTCAGTCAGATCAAAATTCAAAATGAACATGGAAAAGCCTGCAAATACATTTACAGCATAATTCAGAAGGAAGTCCCACTGACTTAAATGGAATGTTACAACAGAGGTGTGTGTATATGGATAACTCTAATATGCTAAGTTAACAGTGTCTAAGTTAAAAAGGTATCAGTGAGATTAGCAAAAATGTTCAAGGTGGGTTCACACACCTCTGATCTCATTAGATTTGATTTCCAAATAAATGAGCTAAAGAGCACAGCTCCAGTGTGCCAAGTCCCTCATGCAGCCCAGTCCTATGCTTAGGGCAGCATTTTTGCACATGAGCCTATGGAGCTCCTCACTCAATAGGCGTGTGTGTTTATAAAAGTAGTTTAAAATACTGGATAGAACATGGTTAGTAGGCATTGCACTGGCATTATGGATGTAAGAAAGCAGCAGCTGAAAAAAAAAACGTTCTTCACAAGAACTTTGTATTTCATAGATTACTGCCTGGTTTCAAAGACAAGTTTAGCATTGCCTTTGCACCTACAGAAGAGCAGTGGTCAGTCTTGCCACGTGTATCTGCATGGTCCATGTAGTGATAAATTCAAATTTGTTGCATACAGACACATCTTTTATGTGCCTCCATACAACTGCTTAGTTAAAAATTGTAACCTATGACACAGCAGCGAGCCGGGTCATTCTTTCACCGGGGTCTTTAGTAGCAGTCATGCCTCTAGACATTAATTTAAGACAATAGCTATTCATAACAAACGGACAACAGAAACAAGGAAAACTGCAAGCGCGAATACGTTTTCCTTACATTTGTGTTTCTCGAAATGAAAACCCTTCTCTCTCCTAGATTTAATACGCTGAAGGTGGAGAAATCGCAACCTCAGGTTTTTGAAAGAAAAGGCCACAAAGTGATTAGAGATCGCAAGAGAGGCCTCGCTTCCTTTAACTCCCTTGGTTCAAAAGCGTCCCTTCCCCTCTCATTCACCTCTTTTATTCCCCTCGCGCCGTGGCTTCCTCTTCCATTCAGGACCTGTGGGCTTGAAAACGAGCGGCACCTGCTTTAGATGAATTATGGTAGAACTGGAAGTAACTCTCTCTCTCTCTCTCTCCCCCACCCCTCCCTTCCCCGCTCTCAAGTCACATCTCCCGTACAGACACAACCCCCGTGATTAGACGCTGATCTCCCCATCTGAATGGGACAGAGAGAGGAGGGACCCAAGACATAGGTTGACTCCCCCCGCTTCCCCCCGCCCTTGAGACGTCCATTGAGGAAAACGGAACAGGAGAAGGGGTGAAGGAAGAAGCAACAGCCCCCCCAATACAATAAGAGAAGAAAGCGGCAAAGCCTTTAGCAGGAGAAAAGTATGATCATGTCTGAACTGTGTTAGTGCTTTCTTCTCTCTCGCTCGCTCTTTGCTTGCTTGCTTTCTTGCTTGCTTTCTCTGTCGGCTTCTCTCCTCTCTCTCTCTCTCTCTCTCTCTCTCTCGCCCTCTCTCTCTCTTTGTCTCCGAGGTGCTTAACTTTGGGGGACCTCGGGCTGCCTGGGAGCTGGAGGCATTTCGGCTCCACAAGGGACGAAGCTGGACGAGGCGGCAGCGGCGGCGGCGGCGGCGGCACGAAAAAGCAGCCACATGCTCCAAAGGGGGGGGGGGTGTTAAAAGTTGAGACTCGATTCCCGGCGCAGTAGATCAAAACAGGTTGGTAGGATTTTTTAGCGACGGGCCTCCCCTCCCCCTTAAACTTTCGAGGCTGGCTTAGTTTTAATCCACGGAGGGGACATTCGTAGCTCCTTCCTATGATTGCTGTTATTATTAGCATTACTTTTATTATTAAAGGAGCTGTTCTGCTTTAAAGCGTAGAGCGTTTGCGCCCGGGGACCACTTAAAGTTGCCAGACTGGCTGATCTCGTGCACCCCCCCCCCCGGGGTTTTTAAAAACAGGTGGGGGGAGGAAGATTCATGCTTTTTTTATTTTCTCCCCCCCCCCCCCCCCCGACTTCCGTATTCTTCCTTGCAGTTTTAAAGATTTGAGAGAGAACCATGAAGGATTTTGCTTTGGGGTGGAGGAGGTAGGAGACGGACTCTCACACACGTGAAAATGCATAGCGGAACTATTTGGAAAAGACTGCCTCACCACCCCCCGTTTGATTTTTTTTTCGGGGGGGGCTTTTTGTGAAAGAGGCGCGTGAAAGTTCGAGGTACCGGAAAAAGGAGCACTCCAGACAAAGAGGGTTTGGAGGAAGCAACTTTTCAGCCGGGATCCTACGGAGGGGAGTGTGAAACCTCAAAGATTGGGCATCGGAGACTAGTTGGCGTTCTGGAAAGCTGCTTAGGTTTCCTCTTTGTTCGTGTCGGAGGGGGGGGGTGAGGATGGGAGGCAGAGATAGGTTCTTGTCTATGGGGAAAAATGACGGAAGGAGCGGGCAGTGAGTCTGGATTCTTCCCCCCCCCCCACTCTGTTTTGTGAATGTGAAGAGGGGTGGGGAGTGGATGTTGCAAAACCGCTTTGGGGTTTCTGCAGATCAATCAGTCCTGTAAGTGTGCATGTGAATTACAATTTATTGTGATTGACAGGGTGGGTAGACTCGGAGATATTCACGTTTATGGTATTCTTGAGTACACGGGGGTGGGGGGGGGAGTGGGGTGAGATTCCGAATTGGGAGAGCTGATTTTTTTTTTTTTTTTGTCATCCCCACTTTATGAAATAACTTTTTCCTGGCAAACAAGTTGCCCATGAATTGGAAAGTTCTTGTCTACCGAAAAGGCCATTTCTGTGGGTTAAATCTATTTTTGATAGTAACAAAAGTTTTGGATGATATAAAAACCATTCATCATCTCCAAATTCCCTAGAAACATATTTCTCATTGTTTTTAATAGAGGGGAATTTAAATCATTTTGTTCCAAATTATTGAACTCAACTTTTAATAGCTCTTTAAATATTCTTTCACGGTGAGGAGGTGCCAATAAATAGTTACAATAGGACACTACATTCTATTGTGACTTAAATGTGTACTATCATCCTTGCTTTATATATTTGTAAATACAACAGAATGCATTTATTGCTGTTAGAGAATGGTTTTGACCCGATCAGTCTTCTAGTCAGCGTCTCTTAAGCTTTGGCTTATCTTCTACTCCTTCCTTTTGATACTCCTTCCTTTCCCTTAATGCCTATGAATGAAAAAGGTTTCCAACATCTCTCGCACCAGCAAACTTGAACTGAATTTAGCAGGAAAACAATCGCATACGTTGATAGTTCTAATATAATGTGATGCCAGTCGCAGCGATCTCTCGAAAGAATGGGAAACCAATATAAATGCATAAAAGCAGAAAACAATGCTAATATTTCTAGTTTAATACCATAATATGTTAAATTTTAAAAGAGGGAAATTACATTTGGTCTTGCAGTACTTAAAATGACAGCATATTCTCAGTACATCTATGCAGACTTCTTTTAACTGGCAATGCTTTAAACACAGAAATCTTAAAAAGCAAAATGTTTGTTTGGGTTCAATTTTATTGACATTTTTACAATAGTTTTTTCTGGAGTGAGTGTTTCAGTATGCTTATATTTTGGTGACTGTCGGCTAATCATTTCAACAAAGGGAGTACACTTATTATTAAGTTACCTTGGCCAGTTGAGAAGTTTCAAACAACATACATTTTAAATGTTGCAGTTAGCATGAGTTTTGTGATGGATTCTAATCCCTTTCTATCATAACCTCCCATAGGACATACTGAAACAAATTTCCTGTTCAAACACTGGTAAAGTTACACTTTTCAATTCTTTTAGAAATGTTCTTGTGTCTGTACAAAGTTCTGATAGAGCCATGTAAAGTAGAGGGGTTCAAATATATTTTAGTATGTAATTTGAAACAAAAAACTTTCCCTCTGATTGTGGCATTTTTCAAATGAAACCATTTAATCACCTTTCTCAAGTTCAAAATGCACTTCGAATGGGAAAGAGCAGGCACAATAATTCATCAGAGTGTACTTAGGATCTAAAAATCTTATGAAGCATACTATTAAGAGGAATAGATTTGACAAACTCATCATGAGATTTGTCTTTTCCTAATTTAGCCCTAAGGAATTTCGCTGCAGATCCTATTCCAGGGTCCATTGCTAACTTCAATCAAGTGCTCACCCTGCAGTACTATTCCTTTGGAGACAAAAAACACACAGGGCAGCCATATAACACAGTCAATTCCAGTTTTTAGCGCTGGATTAAATCTTTCCTATAGTGCGTTTCGAAAGCTTTGTGTACAATAGAAATAAGTATTAATTTAGTGTAAAAAGATGGTACACCCAACAACAGAAAGAGTAAAATTTTGTACAGATACATTGATACATGTTAAAACATTTACACAAGATGAGGCTTGTTCCGTGAATAGGCCATTTTGTGTCAAATTGACACAGTTACTAGTTTAGGCAATAGGCCCAATGAGTTGTGTATATTACATAAAATAGCATTCAGAAGTCTAAATAAACTTTACACAGATTTAACTTGCTATACAGCATAATTCTGTAGATGTCTACTCAGAAGTAAATCTCACTGTGTTCTTACTCTCAGGTAAGTGGGTTTAAGACTGCAGCCTTAATTTCCGTTAGTTGTATTTTTTAAATGAGAAAGCAAGTGCAGGTGAGTGATGCTCAGATAATTTGATTTTAAAATGTTTAATGCTTTTTTTGCTTTTGAAGAAGAACACAGTTAAAATGATAAACTGAGAAAAAAGACAGTCAGAACTAGATGCATAATTTATTGTTCAAAGTCGAGATGATTAGTCAAGTAGGGAGATGGTTCTGATTACAAACAGTTTTTCTTTATCCCCCCCCACCCCCGCTTAGAGATTTGTTTGCTAGAGTAGTGTGGATTGCTGAGCCTTTACACTTCCTGTATTTTGAATTGTTTTAAGAAAGTTCTTGAAAGTTTACCAGAATCTTTAAAAATCAATAAATCTATTATGGGGATTGTACATTGTTCATGTGTAAATCTTACTTCAACCGAATACCTTTAGTTCAAACTGATGCAAATAATTATGCAAAACCACAAAGTTAATAACAAGGAAAAGGTCTGTCTAGTAAAGCATTATTTCATATGCTTTAATTGTGAGTAGTTTTGCATGGACAAATGGAATTGTATCACCCTATTTCCCATCCATTCTTGATCTCTTCTCTGCCAAAGACTCCACCAAAAAAGTAGGGGTGCAGAAGTTAGGTTTCACAGGCAAAGCGTACTGGTGTTGGTGGGGGGGAACCTTCCAGAGTAAGTTACATATAGTAGGGCTTCCTTTTCACAGCTGCATTGTATAATATTCTAAGGAAAGCTGGGTAAATAGGCATGGAATTCCATTCTTTCCAGACTGATAACTTTCTAACCCATGAAGCTTTCGACCACATCTGATATTCTAATGTCATAGTTTAGGATTATAATAAAAAGTTGTTTGTTGTTGAGTTTAAAGAAGATCATAATTAAGAAAAAAAGATACAGGTATTCGTTCATTAAATCTACATAGCATATACTTAGTCCTAAGCCATTAAGATCCTCATTTTTATGTCATTAAATAAGATTAAAATCAAGAAAACCACAGAAATTTGGTGGATCCCTAATTCAAATTCCCCCCCATAGAAAGAAGGTTTTCTTAAGAAAAAAAATCTATAAAACAAAGAGCAAATAAAATAACCACTTCAGGCGCTTTCTCTTTTTCTTTTCTAATAACCAAGCCGGGAACTATGTGCAGTCAGTTGTGAAGTTTTTGCCCAAAGAAGCCTAGGAGCTTTTCTTTTCTCATGGCAGAGGGGATGCTTTTGAATCTGATAATGTTTGTGTGTGTCTTGCTGTGGGGCTGGAATGGGGAAGGTGGGGGTGTTGGTTGAATTTTTCTTTATTTTGCACATGGAGGGAGTGATAGGAGGAGGAAAAGATGCAGTTGTATTTTACTTTGAGCGAGGCACAGTGCAGTCTTATGCATGTTTTCTCAGAAAAAAATCTTGTTATACTTAATGGGGCTTACTTCCAAGTAAGCATAAGATAGCAGTTGTAAAGTCCTTTTATATGTGTGACAACTGGAGAGAAGGAGAATTGTTAACCTGCATCTTACAGAAAATTGGAGGGCGGGGGGAAGAAATGGGTCACCCATAGATGCTTTTTCCTCTGTGAGATGTCTTTTCCTAATGGAATGGAATTTTGAAACTTGTCACCAGCGTATTTAGGAAAGAGCTTTTCCTCCCCATTTCCCTTTGCAGCGAACAACTGCTTTCTACCTAAGGTTAAAATTGAGAGTTAAGGCATTCTTCCTTTCCATCCATCTTTCCAGGGAGCAGGTGTGTATGTTTGTGAAGGCATTCGCTCCAAAAAGGTTAGGGCAT